CCTGACCAAATAGTAAAATACTACGCTAACATGGCACTAGACATCTTCAGATTGCAAAATGGACACTTCAGCAGGAGCTACTTCTTTTGAAGTCATATGTAATTAGATGATAAGCATTGCTATAGCAAAGTCAGGTCACTTTAATTACTCATCGAGCCATACATTTAGTCTTCCATGTTCTATGTATGCTTCTGATTAGGGACGTTCGAAAAATGTTATATTATGACTCAGATAAGTTGCTGGTTAATTATGTGATTCCTAACATAAAAGCAATACAACGACAGTTGAAGTGGCACATTGATTTTAATGAGAATGTATTTTTTTCCCCTCAAACTGAAGCATGCTAATTTATATAAGATTGAAATTGAGTTCAGGCATTAGATCTCCCACCAAAAAATGTAAGAGTCTAGTAAAAGAAATAAGGCTACAGGAAATGTGTGCCCATTGTGTTCATTTGCTGTAATTTTTTGGTTCTGTGGTAGTGGAATTCACAAATGAAGGAATTCTAATCGTATAAATACATATAATTTAGTTCGTTGATGGTTCCTATTAGAAAAGGCGTGCATAATAATCTAATCTAGCGCATTCCTGTTTGAATGACACAAGCAAACGACTGTTGTTCCTCCACACAAAAAAATGATTGTGTCCGATTCTCCACTGAAAATAGGGAACAGAGATTCGAGAGAGTGACAAGAAACTTGAAGGTTACAAGGTTTTTCTCCACATTGGTGGAGGAACTGAAGGCCATAGGACTATCTAGCCGTGATGATTCTCCACGGAATGATGTGATGGTTCCAGTAGCACACTGCAATCGCAGCCCGGTTTTACTCCTGATGGGTGGTGGGATGGGAGCTGGCAAGAGCACTGTACTTAAAGATATCCTTAAGGAGTAAGTAGATTATTTCTACTATTTAAATTCTGTTCATTTTCCATTTAAATTGTGTTGATCGTCTTACATTTCTAGTTTCATGGAAAATATGTTGATTTGGTTTTCAATTCTTCACATTTCGTCACATTGGAATGTAGGAAAAATGAATGTTGTTAGAATGAATTGAGAGGAAAAAAACAATCCTGAAGACAGAGCACACCTTATACAATACTATCAGTATGTGGATATAGGTACATGTTGATTATCTTGGTATGCATTTCTTGATTCACAGAGCATTTTGGTCTGGAGCAACAGCGAATTCAGTGATTGTGGAGGCAGATGCATTCAAGGAAACTGATGTAATCTACCGAGCCATTAGCTCTAGAGGCCACCACAATGACATGCTGCAGACTGCAGAGCTGGTAATATTTTTTTTACCATATTTGCTATCAGAAAGACAATAATGTCACCAGTAATGCAATATAGCTCACTAGCTAACTAGTCAAAATGCATAATATTGCCACATTCAATATTGTATGGCTTAGACTTTCAAAAGAAACCCCAAGCTTGTGTGCGCATTGCAGGCATACTGGAAATCGGAAACAAGTAACCACTAACCAGTCCAAAACACGACTAGTTCCACATTAATATATATTTATACATCATGATCTTGCACCTCTACATATTGTAGATGTTTGCAGCCTTTAAAGTTAGACCTCAATGACCCACAATCACGATGCAGGTGCACCAGTCATCCTTGGACGCAGCCTCCTCGCTCCTCGTCACTGCACTCAACGAAGGCCGGGATGTGATCATGGATGGCACTCTGTCATGGGAGCCGTTCGTGCAGCAAACGATAGCCATGGCCAGGGCTGTGCACAGGCAGCGGTACCACATGGGACGCGGCTACAAGGTCACAGATGATGGGGCAATAACCGAGGAGTACTGGGAGCCAGTTGAGAACTCTAATACTGATGAGGAGAACGAAGTACCAGCAAGGAAGCCTTACCGGATCGAGCTCGTTGGTGTGGTCTGTGATGCATATCTAGCAGTTGTCAGGGGAATCAGGTGCAGCTCATAGCTTAATCCATGCCAAAATCAGCCACTGCCACTAACATTCTACCCATGCAGACATTGTCATGCATTGAGCTCTGATTTTCTCACATTGAAACGGTCATATGTTGGGAAATGGTGCCTAATACATGCATTCAGACACCGTGCACTACTAAAAGTTTACAATTTGCAGGAGAGCTGTAGTCACTGGGAGGGCAGTGAGGGTGAAGTCGCAGCTGCAGTCTCACAAGCGATTCGCTACAGCTTTCAACAGTTACTGCAGCCTTGTCGACAACGCAAGGCTCTACAGCACCAACACCTTGGGTGTTCCTAAGGTGAGCCAGCTAACCTGGTGAACTAACATGTCAAAACTGAACCATTTCAGGACACATGAATTTCAGAAGAATTTTTGCAGGCATTTTGCATGGAATAGTTAAATTCGTGCAGCATGTTCTTGTGTTCCAACTTCCAAGCATGCCCGCCAACTTCCACTATTATTATTATCACGTTTGGTGAGAGCCGATCCCGTGTTGCAGTTAATAGGATGGAAGGATGGCGAGAGCAGCTTATTGGTGGATCCCGAAGAAATCGGCTGCTTGGACAGACTAAGAAGTTTGAACGAGGAGGCCAACTGCGTCCATGAGCTATACGCCGATGGTCAACCGACAGGAGGCTCGTCGTCAGCCTGGCAGGACTTGGTCATGTCTCCGTTGAGGGCATCGTCGCAGCGGGAGCTCAAGGCTGCCATCGAAAGGAACGAGGCACGCTTCAATCCTGCATAGCCGTAGCTGCTGTCTTACTGGGTGCATCATCCCAAAAAGTGGGGAAAAGATGAAGTTCATAGTAATGCTTTGATTGCGGAGGTAGCCTATCATTTTTTGTTTCTTTTCAAACATACGAATGTCGCATTAGGATTCCTATGAATATGCGATCCAAAATGATTCCTATGTGTTTGCACCGCAAATTTAATGCTTGTACAGTTACAGAAAAAAATGTTAGCGTGAAGTATCCGTGCTAGCATCTGATTGAATGATTGTGGCCTTGTCGTAAAAGGAGGGGCCTGTTTGGTTGGTGGTGCCTCACGTTTATCCTTCGATAAACTGTGTCTGTCATAGAAAGTATAGTGAACAAAATCGAAGCCAACTTATGACAAAGTTTATCATGAAAATGAGTCCATAACGTGTGGGATAAGGTGCTAAGAAAGTGTGGCACGTCATAGTTGTAGCAGTGATTAACCAAATAGCTACCGAATAAACTGTGGCATGATTAACCTTTGATGTTGCAAGTTTTTGTCACCAACCAAATAGGGGTTGGTGTTACACATCAGTTGATGCATATGATCAGTCAGATGACGATGGACTTCGGGATTGTTTGGTACGTGCCTAAAATTGTCAAACCATACATTAGTATCCCTAGTTTCATAGGCAACTATTTGGTTTATTTGCAGTAACTATGGTGCTCCAAGAGGAACATAACATGATATGATACTTTTAGAAAAAAAATTATACTATGTGATCCTAGTCGTTTCTGGAACGAGGAATATGACCTCTTTTAGTCTTTCCATGTCACTAGCTGCTAAGTGCGTACCACTTTAACACTTTTTTTAACATCCTGTCTCACACTATATAAACTTATTTTGTTATCAAACTCTGTTTCACACAATATGAACTTATTTTCTTGTCAAATTCTGCCATAAGTATGGTACCTGCCGCTGGATATTCATTCTCCGTGTCCAAATCCACACCCACGATAATTGGGGAGGGTATGGGTAGAAATAAAATACCCATTTAGATATGGGTGTGGGTAGGATAATACCCACCTTAATCATTAATTATCCATTTACCCGTTCAGTAGCTCAAGCTCCCACCGCGCTGCCTGTCGGATGTGCTCGCCTGACGCCACATTCCTGTTGCTAATGCCTTCCTGCTGCTTCCCCCACTTTATCCGCTGGGTAATCAAAATCCATCGGGGATTACCCACTGCATTCGGGTATGGAGAATTTTAGGACACTTGGATATGGACAAAATGCGGGTGTGGACATGGATGCCCCGTACCCTCCCCAACGGCAGCTATCGGTATGGCTTCAATTTTTTTCGTCATGCTTCGTGTCGGGTACAACTTTGCCTTGTGTTCTTTCCTCTTCTCTTTGCATTGTTTCTTTCCAGAGCTCTCTTCCCCTACCAGGCTCCTTCCATCTCTGATATCTGGACAACATGTCCTCCTGTCGTTCAACCAACGGTCCTGCGCTAGGACCCGCCTCTACGTCAAAGTTTAAGTTTCTAAAACAAAAACTTGACCTAGCAATCAGTAATCGTTCTTGAATTCTGAATTTCCGATATTTGAAATAAGACAAATAGTTGCATTGCATGTTGCATTGAATTGTCGGACATAAACAGTTGCATCAGAGGCGGAACCAGCGATTTTGATTAAGGGGGGCCGGACAAATATGATCGCATTTTTTACTATAATAAAATATACATAATTATATGTTTCAACAATTTTTTTTAATTACACTATTTATAACAAAATCATAATATTTTAATAAAAATAGGTGAAAATTGTTTTTTTGTGCTGAAAATTCATATATTTATATAGATATTAACATAATCTACTATGCTTGGGGGGGTGGGGGGGCACGCCCCTGGTTACGCCACTGAGTTGCAGCCATACCAAAAAAAATAATTTTCATATAAAAATTGTAGCTATATACGAGACTACAACTCTTTAAGAATTATCTTCACATACATTATTACTTTTATCCAAGCTCATATGAAAAAATTATTAATGTTCAAAGGTTTGTTTGCCCATTGGTTGGGCGGTATAATTTGTCCAACACTAAGGGGCGGGAAAAATGAATTCCCACGTGTTGTGGACCATTGCATTTTTCATCTATGTCTGAATTTTCAGACAACAATATTTGACAATCAACTACAGTATAATTAAAAAATTATAATTTTTTCTATAGTCAAACAATGACAAAATAAAAAAATCTCTTCCGGTCATTCTTCTTTTTCAGTGCTCGGCCCGTACCGCCGTATCCTGCTAGGCCTGGAACTGTAGAATCTGTGGGCCGCTCCCGTCAAACAGTATGGGCTCCTTTGCGCAGGTGGTCCGATGTCGAAGGGCTTCGAAAATTCCAACGGCCCATCCCCAAGCGGATTAGAACACCTGATATTATACCCGCGGCCACGCCTCTTCCAGCAAACCCTAGCACGCCGCCGCCGCCTCCACTGCCCCGCCGCGCCTCGGCTCCCCTGCCTCTCCTCTCCTCCAACCCAACCGCAGCCATGGTGAGTGGCCACAGCTCGCACCCTCGACCCGCCCTCGAATCCACAACGCGCACGCATTTCGCTGTGGCCGAGCTGACTAACCCCTCTCCGCGCGTGATGGTGCCTCGCACGCGGACGTCGACGTCGAGGCGGAGGTCGCCGCCGCGGGGCAGCCCAAGAAGAGGACGTTCCGCAAGTACAGCTACCGCGGCGTGGACCTCGACGCGCTCCTCGACATGTCCACCGACGACCTCGTCCAGCTCTTCCCCGCCCGCGCCCGCAGAAGGTAGGCGCAAGCTGCACCAGAAAATGGTGTTGTTGGCGACGGGATTCCGTGCAGGAGGGTATAATGTTTCCCGTTGTTTTGATTGCGTTTTATGCTTTTTCATTTTTTTGGGTATGTGTTTGGATTTAGGTTCCAGAGGGGTCTGAAGAGGTAGCCGATGGCTCTCATCAAGAGGCTGCGCACGGCGGTAATGCATTCCCTTCCTCTCTGCGATTTTGTTTCATAGATTGCTTGGTTGTCATGCCCATTGCGTTCTGTAAGTTTAATGCTGGGATGCTAGAATGTGCGATATTTGTAGTCTGGATGTTGAGTGCATATAGCAGCTAAGGGTGATATTGATATGCACATGTGGAATCATCTGACTTTTTAGATTCAGTGGGTGTAGTTTCAGACGTGTTTTGCTCACACAATCGATGGCCAGCAGAATTGAAATGGTTTACTCCGTATTTCACTTTTGATGCTCGGCCAGAACCCTGGTTCAGACTTGCAGTAGAGATGGTTGACTTGAGGTGCATCGATAATTTTGCAGCAAACGGTGTTAGATTATTAGGATGAAATGTAATAGCAATTGCGTGATCTGAATGTTACTGTTTGAAATGGAGTCATTATTTGTTGAGCTGAAGGTTGATTTTCGTTTTATGCAGTTGCTATAAGTACGTACCAATTTATTTATCAGCTATGAAATTCAAATGCATGGCACATGGTGGTTAATATAGCATAAATGTTAGTTTGGTCCTAGAAGATTCATGCTGTGCTAGTCTGCTGCCAAGGCTCAGATGATGAGTTTCTTATGAGCACTTGAAATAATGCATGTTACAGAGTAGTCAAATGGAGCTTAAGCTATATAGTAGTTTGGAATAGTCTGTCTAGTCTGTTGACTTCTTATTCCTGTTGTATGGAATGTTGTGACAATGATATTTTCTAATTAGAGTATATTTGCTCTTTGTTTTACCCACAGCAGTGAGTAGAGTTGGTAGACTTAAGAATTTGTTTATGACCTATCTGTGCATTTTTTTCTGCATATTCCGATTTCATTTGATCCTGAAGATAAGTTGTTTTCTCAATTTCTACTGCTAATGCTATTGTTTGTAGCTGTTTCACTGTTTCTAAATTGTTGTCATGGAGCTAAGCTATTGCTTCGAGATCATAAAAGCTAGGCTATTAACCCATTTTCTACTTTTTACGTGCACAGAAAAAGGAAGCACCTGCTGGTGAGAAGCCTGAGCCTGTCAGGACTCATCTGCGCAACATGATCATTGTGCCAGAGATGATAGGCAGCATAATTGGAGTGTACAACGGGAAAAACATTCAACCAGGTTGAGATCAAGCCTGAGATGATTGGGCACTACCTTGCTGAATTCTCCATCAGTTACAAGCCCGTCAAGCACGGAAGGCCGGGTATCGGTGCTACCCACTCCTCCAGGTTCATCCCTCTCAAGTGAAGGATCCCAGGGCATGCTCGTGTTTGCGCCAAAGTTATCTGGCCCTGCTGCTATCTGTTATTGGATAAGGCTTTGTTATTTAGCATTTGGTGCTTTGTCGGAGGAACTTTGAACACCAATGAATTATAGTTCTTTTTAGTGAAATTTTGACATGTGTGCTACACTGCTACTTGCGATTCGGAATTGAAAGTAGAGATATATTGTTATCTATGGTGCAATCCCTACCTTGTTATCTGTCAGTGTATCTTGTATTCCATCCTGTATTCCTGTCTCACTTGTCAACTGAAATATTATTTTGTGTCTTGAGTATGTCAATGAAAGGACTATTAAATTGTATTAGATGCAGTACAAAAATAGGTGATGGATGAAACCATTAAAAACGCAAGAATTATATGCTCCAATAATGGAAAGAACTAGTGCACCGTGATGACGAAATAACAAGAAATACAACGAGATTATGAGGAAATATAGAAAGGAGATGGGAACACTTGAATGAAAGTGAAGAAATCCAGAAAGAGATGACAAAATAACAAGAAATATATTGAGATTATAAAGAAATATAGAAAGGAGATGGGGACACTTGAATGAAAGTGACCTGTCCAAGTCTGTTTTGAATCCTTCCACTTTGCAATTTTTGATTTGAGAACTGAATAAAGACAGCACAAAAAGAGTTGCAGATGGACAGGTCTCAGTGTCTCACCGTAGGTTTCAGGGTATTGTAGAGTTCTTTTGTTAGTTCAAGTTCTACTTCTGTTACAAATATATAGGTTATTCACTCAATGGTGCAATGCAAACCAGCCGCTAAAATGTTCGGGCCTGTTCGCTTGGACTTATCAGCCGGCTTATCAGCTAGAATCTACAATATTTTTCTCTCACAACAAATCAATTTCAACCGGTTTTAATACCAGTCGCAGTTTTCTGTCTAAATCTTTGCAGTTTTATGTTCAGTAGATATAAGCAAAGCCCACTCTTTTATACATTAGAGGACTTCATTTGGAACCATCTAGATTGAAACTCAATAGTTCATGGGCACCAAAAACTGGCAAAAAAATACATAGTTTTTATTTTTTATTTTTTAGTATGTACTGATGTACAACAAATTTCTCTAATGATGGAACATAGACAGAACAAGAGCTTAACATCAGTAAGCCAAAGCCACAGCTTCAGTTTGTTGAAAGTCAAAAACAGTAGTGAGAATGCAGACATATCAACACTGCTATGTGCAATTCAGTTTCCTAAAGCACAGGTGCAGTCAACTTTACACAGACAACTTTTTGACTAAACATATTGGTGCAAAGAAAAATGAAAACTTTATGGACGACGATAAATAACTTAAACAGTAGGCCAACATTGAGGAATGCTGAGGCATACAGAGCGGAGGTATGCAAAGTGGACAGTCGGAAGTGAAATACATAACGGGGAATGAGAAGAACAGTAACGAAATAAGGTCACAATTATTACAAACACAAAGATCATTTTTCCAGATAATTGATAAGTTGGTGCTTCAGACCTCTTTAAACGAGAGAATCAGTTCACAATTTGTTAGTGCCCCCGAGGAGCCTGAACCTGATGAACCAAGTAAGGAGCCAGAGCAGGCCGAGGCGTCCGCTGCATCCAGGCCAAAGCGCTCCGTCCGGCCCAACACGCTGCTCAGCGGCCCAGAATGGCTCAAGTAGACTATATGTACTAGGAGAGGGAAAGAGAGAGGGCATCAAACATTGTATCCCAAAACCTGAACCTGAATTAAGATTCGTCCTCGCCTCGCTATCGCTCGCTGCTCGTTCTTCCCCCTTCTCCAAGTTCTTCCAATTTCCTCCCCAACTTCCCTCACTCCTGGCTGATTGCTAACAATTTGGTATCAGCTTCCACGTTCTCTGCATCCTGGACACCGACCCCAATCCCCACCACCACTACACCCGTTTCTAGCGAGCTAGAGGTGCCATGGAGCCCAACTTCAAACTCATCCTCGACGAGCTGTCGCAACTGAATCGCCGCTTCGACGGCGAGCATGAGCACTGGAACCGGTGGTTCTTCGACCTGGAGCGCGGCCTCACCACCCGCGCCACCACAATCGACGCCTATTTTGACACCCTGGAGACGTCCCGCGGCGCCGACGCTGATGACCTCTCCCGCCGCATCGCCGACCTAGAGGCTGCCCCGGCGGATCCTCAGATCAACGCCGTGGAGAGGCATCTCGCCACCCTCGAAGCCAGCTACACCGTCCACGACGCCGAGTTCACTCAGCGCTTGTACGAGCTGGAGCGCCTCCGCGTCAACCCCGTCAAGGACGAACGCGACATCCGCGTGACGAACCTCGAGGAGGCCACCAAGGCCTTGAACTCCTGGCGCCCCGAGGTTGATGGTGTGCTCGATGACGTTCGTATTGCTGTTCGGCGGTTAGAGAAGGGTCACGACCGCCAAGTGGAAAGATTAAAGATGTGATTCGATTGAAGAGTAAGGAGAAAGCACAACCTTCTTAAGATAATCGTGATAACATGGTGAAGAAGGTTGAGAAGGGTTCAAACCTTGCTTCCTCCAAAGCCCAACAAAAGAATCACATTTCAAGCAAGGCCAACACAACCAAGAGCAAGAAACATAGAAAAAAGTTATGCTATGGTTGTTGATTATATGGACATGAGTGGGCTATGTGTCCACATAAGAGTTGGGCCGTCAAGTGTGAAGCGGCCGAACATAAGGCCTCAAACAAGTTGGCCAACCAAAAGAAAAGTGAGAAAGCCCAAGTTGCAATAAGAAGATGCTATGGATGCAATAAGATGGGCCACAAGATTGAGAGATGTCCATACAAGCAAAACAAGCATAGAGCAAACAAATGCCGCATATGCTATGCTTGTAGAAGAAAGGGACATCTAAGCTATGAATGCCCAAATGGTAACACTCCTAAGCCGAACATATTTGTTTATAATGATATGCTTAGGGAGACCATAAATGGAGTTAGCACTAGCACTAGCAATGTCAGGCCAACAAGTGTAACACCTCGGTGTTACACCCTAAATCAATTATTAAAATATGTCTTGAACATCATGTTTATGTGTTAATGCATGTGATAAAGTGTGTAGATTAATTACTATAACTCAAAATGATCAATAAAAATACTAAACGAAAGTTGATTCGGTAGTTCATGTATATCAAGTAGGGTTTAAAACCAATTTTTATTAAACAAAAATGCTATAGAACATATATGTGACGTGTAAATAAAGTTTAAACTACAAACTTTGTAGATGATAGTGAAATACTTCTGTCAAAAAATGATATTACTAGCCAATATTTTCACTAGTTTAGAAATCGCAAATTAAAATCAAATTCAGCTCAAAACTTAGAAGAATTTCCAAGTTTGTCAACAGCTAGACATTGCTATGTTTAGCAAACTATTTTGAGACATTGGATTAAGGGGTGGTGTAATGTTATAGCTCGATTTGGTAGCCTCATATATCGTCTTGAGCATGGTGAAGATGGTTTGGCTCCTGAAGTAACCATTTAGTCGTTTTGGGCGCTTTAAAATTCATGCACGACACAGCCTCGGGATGGTTGGCGCCGTGCGCACGGTCACCGCGCAGCCACCTCGTGCCGCGCACATGGCCACATCCCGCGCAGTCACCCTGTGCCGCCATGCTGGGTCGGTCGGGCCGCCTGGGTTTGGCCAACGCCGACCGTAGCGAGCCGCTGGCCCCGCGCACTGCTGTCTAGCCTCGCGCTGCCGCCACTGGTGCTGCCGTGGGCGCCCTGTGCTACCATCGCGTCTGCCCATTGCTGCCTCACCGCACTACCGACCCCTCCTCGTGTCACGACGCTACTACTGCCATCACATCGTCATCGCGTCCGCGCCTGTCCGCTATACTCTCTGCGCCTCTGTCGCATGCATGCCTCGCAATTTAAGACACTGCGGCCGCGCGGGCCACGCCGGTCGGACGGGTGCATGCCTTGTCTGTAGCGCCTATGCGTGGGTGTCCTGATCGCGCCGCTCGCGTCCTGCCAAGGCGAGGACGAGCCGAGCCACCTGTCGTGCCCCATCTCTCTCTTTCTCCCTTTCTCCCTCTGTTGCCGACGTTGAGCACGCCATTAAATTCGTCAGGGAGAGATCACCTCAAGTTGATTCGTCGTGTTGTTGGCTCCGTCACGCAGCTGTGTAGCTACCCGTCCCCACCCCGCCTTGAATGGCGCCCGCCCGAGCTTCAATTTTGGAGCTTTTCCCCGCTACCGTGCCGATAAGGCCGAGTCCGCCCATCACCGAGGGTAGCTCTCATTTGACCACCTCAGGCCAAATTGGTTGCACCGCTAGACTCGCCTCGAACCCCTCCTTGCCATGCACACCTGAGCCATACCCCTACCGCTGTCCCAACGCTGTTGACACGGTTGTGTCCGCCATAGCTCATCGTCGAGCTCGCCGCGCGTACGTGGCTAGCCTTGCTTGGGGCATCTCTGGTCAAACCATCACCTCGGCCAGGTCCTTGGTGAGTCACTGATGCTCACCTGCTACCTCTACTGCTTCCTTAGCGCCGTGGCTCACCGGCTGTCGTTGTCGCCACTGCAGGTTGTCCGCCGACGTGGAGAGGTCGCCCTGCTTCGTCTCCAGTCTCTGAATCGCTGCCATTGTTGCGCGCTGTCCTGTAGGTGAGCATCGGTCCTCTATATGGGTCGAGGGGGTCCCCAGTTGACCGGCATAGCGGCCCAGTGCCGGTCAATGCCACTCCGGCGAGCACGGAGGCATCGGGGACCTCCCCGATGCGAAGACAGCTTCTCTCAGGGTCTTTCGTGCATAAGTGCTGACTGGGTAAATTGGACGAATAGTGGCTGCGAGAATAGTAGGAAGCTCGGGGGTGTTTTTGCTAAAATGCCAACAGCCAGCAGGGGCTCATGTGGGCCTCCTCCACGCGTGGGCCGCGCCCCGTGTGGGCCTCATTGGGCCAGTTGGTTTGTCTTTTTAGTAAAGAATTAGAAATGATTTTGTATTTTTATTTAAGAACCAATTTTGTGTAATTAATCTAAAATCATGTAGA